AGGGACCCAAACTTTCCCACCTAGTACCCACTTGTAAATAATGTACATAGTGTGTTTATTAGCATTCTTAATTTTGTATCTTACTCATTTACTGTACTCTGTATTTCTTAATTGCACTAGTTTTATTCACATTTGTTTTTCTCATTTTATGATTCCCACTTAGTCACGCCTTTACTGGGCCTGTTACTTGTTAGTGAGCTCTTGCGTTGCTGATCTTCCTATCCTTTATCCGTCTTTGCTCCTCCTTACGGCGGACATTATGTGAAGATAGTTCTATGTTATTGCGCCTATCTGGCATAACTTTGATTCAGCCACATAAACGACTGATCTTAGTGGTATTCTGGCTATAAGTTATCAGTCAGTCATTTGCTGATTTCTTTGCTCTCGATGAAGAGGAACCTGTACTTGTAGCATTCTGTAGTTTAGATATATTGCAACAGTAATTTTTGTTAAAGTAATTTGAGTAATGTTATATTGCGGTTTATATAATGTTTAGCTATTTCATACGATCTGTATTATGTGTTTAATTTGTTGTAATTGTGATTAATATATTATGTGTAAAGAGATGCCCATTTGAATTTATTAAGTACTAATGTCAGTGGCTATGTAGAAGGTAAATTCAACAAATTCCCGATGAGGCCCTTATAGAGCAGCAGGGAATACTGCTTCTAGACAGTTGTAGGATTCGGATAATACCTGATCAGATTGTATAAGCCACATGGGTGTCTGGACCTCGTCTGACCTGTTCGCCTGTTCTCGAAATCGATAGAATTCTTGACTTATCTACTCCAAACACAAGGTTTTGCTTTGCTAATATTACATTCCACCTTGTTGTTTTTGACATACAGTAATCAGATTTTTTTCATAGCTGGTCGAAGACAAAACATGTTCTTCAACTAAATGGACACGCTTAGTTGGGTTTTCTTCAATTGCTCACATGTTATAACAAAACTACTCAGACTGTGGTTCCTCCTGTGAAGACGATCACCTTAATACAACTATCAGTGGTTATAATGCCAATATTTATTCATATTCTGATGAATAATGTGCTCTTTTAAAGTGGCTGTTATAACAGTTTTTACTTTCGAAGTATACTGTAGTTGCAGTTGTTCCTAATAAGCAGAGTTCAGTTATCATCGTTACACAGTCTGAAAGATTTGACGACGGGGAATATTCTTGCTCCATTTCGCTCAGTTTCAGGTTTTTACTCTGAAAATTGTTTAATTTTTCAAATATTCCACATCTTTGTAACTAAAATATTTCATTGAATAATTTTTCATCAAGTTATTACCATTGCTAAAAATATATTCAAATTAGAAATAAGTAACAAAAATAAAATTTAATCAGATGTTTATACATTTTATAATGTTTTCAAAACATGGTCATTTAAATTATTTTAATTATGGCATTTTTTGACTGTTTGATTCGATTCTGATCAAACTGCACATCTCTTTGTATGCTTGAGTGGCAAGTTAGCTATTAGAGACAGAATTCAAATAAATCATTTTGGCTCATCGCATTTTATTTCAACAACGATTAAGCAGGTGAAAAGTTATATTTTCACCTGCTTATATTTTCATTTCTCATCAGACTCTACCAAAAAAAAAATTTTTTTTCGTCAATATTAAATAATAAAATTATTTTTTATTTGCAGAAACATAATTTATTTCTACTAAAAGCCTAAAATTCAACATGCATTCTCTTTTCCTAAAAGTTTTTTTTTAATCTAAAAGATTTTATTATTAAAAAAAACTATTCTTTATTTATTTCTATTTAAGATTTTATTCTTTATTTATTTCTATTTAAAATTTATATATTAAAGACTACTACTGTTTATTTTTTTTAATTTTAATGACTATTCTTAAACTTTTTCTTTTTGTTTTGTGGAACACAACGCCTGATCTTTTTTCTTTACAGCTACAATTGAAGCCAACAATTTTCATTGTCATGAAATAATAAAATAATAAAATTAACAATATTATAACTTAGATAAAAAGCTTTATTACATTTAATGTCGTTTAAATTAATGCAAAAATTTTATGTAAATCTTCAATTTACTTGGCTTTACTAGAAAGTGCAGCAACCGATCGGGATAACTGGATTTTCGGATATCGGTATCCACAAGATTTGAGTTCTACCGTAGCATTTTTCTTGTTGCTTTGTAGCATTTTTCTTTTTATGTATTACAGTTATTCATCTAGACTCTTTTTACTGGTTTTTATTAACCATGAGTTTCAATTAACTATGCATATCCTTCCTTATTCATACTCATGCTAACAAAATCAAACAATACTTAATAGGCTTTAAAACTGAGATTTGTCAACTAACGTTATGTTATCTCAAAGGACCCCTAATTCTGAAAAAAAGGAAGGTATGAATTGGTTTCAGGTTTGCATATAACTTGGAAATTTATTTAAATTATTGCGATAAACGAATGAAATATAATACATATTATTAATATTGTTGCGTTCTTGTACGGGTTCGTGGATTTGGAGTGATTGAAAACAACTCTTGATGAAGAATGAAAACACAATTTGTTAGCCAGTATTACTCAGTTCCAAAATCACGTTCATAGTCGTCGAGAAACTACAACAAACACGCTGAAACAATCAGCAACACAGCTTTCAGGCTATCAGGCTATAACGGTGAACACAGCTTCATGGCAAAGCACCAGAAGACATCTCCCGACTCACTTCGGTCGTTCTCTGAACTCAATCTACTCTCGAGACTCTCCACGCTACAACTCGCGATGCACTCGACGAGACGCTCGATAGCCTCAACAATGAACACTCTCTATGCACCAACTCGCGATACACTCGACTACCAACTCGACACTAGACTACGAAACACTCGATAGACTCGCTAGACTAGACACTGACTGACTGACGGATTCTTCTTAGACACTTAGATATACTGAACTATTGCCTGACGCAACGTTGCCGGTTCATGAGATCAAGCTCTGAGGCACATGACATAGTATAGGAGGATAACATCTCTGAAGAGAAAACGGAGGAAAGGAAAAGGAGAGAAGTACCAAGAGACAAAAGGCCAAAGGTATCTGGCAGGTAATAAAACTTAACAAGAGGAGAGAAAAGTCCAAAAGGATCCAAAGACAATTCTTCAAAATGACAAATGCAAAACATGATTCAATAAACACTACTATGCAGCAAGAAGATCAATACAACCAAATACAACACTAATTCAACCCATACAATAAGTACAATACTACTTCAATCAGTACAACATCACAAGAAAAAGTCCAAACAACTTAGAAAACAACACAGGCTAAATCAGATAAAATGGAAGTATAAACAGTCATCGATTGAGGAACTAAGAGAACTAGTGGTTTCCATCCATGATAGTGTGCTGCCAGTGGACGTATGTTGCGATCATCAAAGAGAATTTCATAGTTGAAAGACTTGAGAATAGTTTACGAAGTCGCATTGGACTGCTTTTGTGAAGAACTTCTTATTTGTTCTTTTAATGTATTCGGTGATGGTCTTAAGCTTGAGATCTCTATGAAGAAGTTCGTTGCGGATGAGAAAGACAGCATCTGTCAGCATACGTAGAAATTTATTCTGCACCACTTGGAGTTGATAGAGCTGATTTGGAAAAGCAGTATTTCAGGCAGGAGCTGCATAACAAAGTATTGGACGGATACAAGACTGATTCTCCGCGTACCAGCAGGGTTTATGTAGCTTTTGGCTTGCATTCGAGAACATTCCGGGCCAAACCGATAAGAATTCGTTCCAGAAGGTTCTCCTTCCGTCTATGGCATATCGCCGATTTTTTCGCCAAATGGGCAATTTCGCGGCAAATATGACAACCCTGCCTTCCTTTGCCATTTTTCTGGCAACCTTAAAGCCGCTTTGCGGGACAGCTATCTTAATGCAGCTGGCATTTCGTAACAATATTTAAAATAACAAATCTTAAAAACTGCGTATGATATGGCAATTATCTTTGTCATTAGTATTACTGTTTCTATCAGAGACAGTTAACTTGGTCCCGGGCCCACCAGCGGCAGAGCGGTAAAGTCGCTGAACACTGGTAGTTCTGTCCGAGTTTTGAATCCCGCGAACGGGCTGGCTGCATGGGCATTTTCGTGGTTTTCCCCAAGTGTAACGTGTACACGAGTCAGTTTCCTTTAGAAAGTTCTCCACGAAGGCATCCCTCCCCTTAGGCAGATAGACCTAGTGTGCTTTGCCATAATTAAATAAACCATACCAACCTGGTCCCTGTCACGCACTAGTGGGCAATTTAAGCTTTGAAAGGTGGACGGTAGAAGTGTCCGTCCTGTGATGAAAGTCTATTCTCGCGCGCTCAGCTCTCTCCTGTTTCCATACCTTTTATAAGGCTTTGCCACTTTACTTAGGTGTTGTACTGTGACTATAGCGGGCATAATGGGGTTATCACATCTTAACAAAGCATGAGCGATGCTCTTATCTTTCGAAGTCAATTCATTGGGTGATTTTCCCTAGACCTTTGAACAATGGTATACTGAACTGACAAGCGATACAGTAAACAACATCTGAGGGGGAATGGAGGAACTGCAAGTGGGTGGGTTGTATTTAATGCAGTTGTGCACAAGAATGTTGTTCTAGGGTTTCAAAAGAAAGCACTTCCGACTCGGATGAATTCGCAGAGTTATGACTCAGATATTTTCTGTCGCTGGTGTCATCGCGCTTTCTACTGAACATTCTAGAGTGTAACTGCCGATGTAGATTAAAACGTATAATGCTTCCTTCTTTATTTGTAAATATATAAGTACATTTTCAGTGTTTCCTTTCGCACTTCTCCGGCTATTTATGAATTCATAATGTGATTTTCATTCGGGAAGCTAATGAAATATCATTCAAGTGTAACATAATGTTTATTATTGTAAATCTATGAATATATAAGGACAATTTTTGTTGAATTTTATAAATTTTCTTTTACTGATTTATATAAACTAGTTTTGGATATTGGCTTTTGCTAACTGCTTTTATTATTTCTATGATTAGCACGGAGCTGATGACGTCAAAAGGCATCGATGGTTTAAGAATATTTCTTGGGAAGATGTGTATTACAAGAAAGTTCAGGTATGCATTTTCTGCATTACATTACTCCTTTAAATATTTATGTATGGCACAAAATGTTGAAAATGAAATAATTTTCATTAAAAATGTATCCGCTCATGCTTGTTAACGGATGACGTACTTACCTGGCATGCTTTAATACATAGTATAAAGAAAGGAGTTAAATCTTCAGAGTTTCGAATTGTGATCTTATACTTTGAAACTCAAATATTATGGAAATTTATTGGAATTTTTGCTCATTTTGTTTATTTCTGAAAGGTTCACACGAGGCTTTTGTAGACGTATTGTTTAGGTCTCCTATAGTTGTGTGGAGATTGGATGAAGTAAAGGAATAAGCCATATGGGAGTTTCCTTTCAATTTGCATTTATAATAAAGAGATATAGTATGCTTCTTAGAACATTACCGTAGTGGGCAGATTTATATAGAAATAAAGTAAGCTGAAAAGATTTACATATAAGTTAGGTAAGCTTGTATTTGTTATGCAGAGTAGTTTAATCGAAGCAGGAAACATTAACTTTAGTCCTCTTGACTGCTAGCCGGATGTACTTCCAAATATATCCCGAAGACAAGCGGTAAGGAAGGATAAAATACCTTACATTCTTCCCCACTTAAAGTGACGACTGGAAAAAAGGGAACCCAAATACCAAATCCTGGTGGTGACAAATTATCGTCCAACACATTTTAGTTCGAGCACTTTAACGGATAACGGAAAAAAGGAGCAATTCTTCACCGATTAGAATTCCTAATAGTGCTAGCTGGACATGCTTCCAGTTACATCATAAAGGTATTTTTTAGCACAAATTAAAAATTATATAAACTTGAGCTTAACAGGATTTACATATTAGGTACATAAGTTTAATAGGACTTATAGTAATATTATAATGACTAATAGTAATGTTATATGAATGAATAATAAAAATATTATATGAATAATAGGACTATAGTTGTAAATATTATAATGAGTTTAATTAGTATTCATAATGATTAATAGAATATTCATTTATAAAGTAATATTTTTTTTCCAAATATCTTGTCACAGCAGTGTTTAAAGCTTCCTGAAGCCTGGCTCCATTTTTAAATTTTAATAGAAATTGTAATATCAACCGGAACCCATGACATTCCTAAATGATATGAATTTAGGAAATATTTTATTTTAAATATTTCAATAAAAACATACTTTATAATCTTAAATAAGGTAAAATGCTACTCAAGTTACTCCTATTTTGTCCTCTTTACTTACTCCTCCTATACGCTTTACTTTACTGTACTTACTCCTCTTTTATCCTCGATCTCAGTATTACTAATATCTACAGATTGCAGTTTTGTTTAATTTTACTGGATTTTTATGGTATATTTAAATTTTTATTTATATTCAGTTTATTATTAATCTACTTAATAGTTTTTTTTTTTTACCTTTTTTACAACTTTCTTAATTACTTGATTATTTATTAGCCCAAATGGGCGCTAGGCCAAAACGTTTATTAGTCTCAAAACGGCATTTGAGTCGAATCACTATAAACGGTTGAATCACTTTTCAGATTGTTGCCACCAAATATTATCGCCCTGTATTATATTTAAAAAAGTAAATAATGAAGACTATATATGAATGCATGTATGTTTCTCGCATTGTGAAAAAATAACCGTACCTAAAGTCATCATATTTTAAATAACATTGTCATCACCCCCGAACATAAGCATCTGGAAGCTTGAATTTGGAATTTAGAATTTGTTTTATTGTCTGTTTCATATTTTGTAAAACTTAAACGAATTTTTTATTTAAAAAACTCAACGATTTCAAAGAGAGCAATCGCAACACTCCACAGGAAAAAAAGAAGCATTTTTTATCACCCGCGCGCGGGACTGTCTATTGAAAATTCTAAAGGTATACTGTTTTTAAATATTTTTAGCCCAATGTGGCGTTAGCCCCAAATGCTTTCGAAACGTGTATGTGTCTGTAAATGAATTAGAAAAAAATACCCGTTTGGGCGTAATATAAAATCTGAAAGCTTTCAGCTTTTTTATTATTATCATTATTTACATACCCCTTTATTTTTATTTTACAGTTTATTTAATTCAGTCACTCTTTATGTATTGTTTATCTATTATTAATTTATTTATACATCCTTATTCACTGCAAACGAACTTAAAATTTTGCTAATGTTTCTGCAGTTTCTTCATTACTAGATAAAAATGAGTTAAGCCAGTTAGATAAAAATTATAACTATCTTAACGTAAAGAATCCTGCACGAGATATTTCCAAAATATTTAATGTAAATGTAATTCGTTAATGGGATTTAATGATAATATTTATTAATCTAAGAAATTAATCAAAATAAAATTAATCTTTTAACGCGCAAGTATAATATCGTAATATAGTAAAAATATGCGAAGTTTAAATTTTTATAGGTCCAATAAAAAATACATGCTTTCCATAGACGAATTTTTTATCAAATTTCACATCAGTATAATAAAAATTATCTGAGTTAATTGAAAACTTTAATTACAATATGCAAATATTTCCATTGACAGCTGCGTGTGTTCGATTTTGAATGGGAATTTTCTAAAACGTGTGTTTGCATATTAGAAAGACAGTTGATAAATACTGTATTGATTCAGAAATGGTTTAAAATTACCGTTTAAGAAAATTAAAAATTAAAGAATTTTTTGTTTAATGAGATTTTATTTTGCATGTTCCCTAAATGACTTTCTTTTTCATCGAATGACTGTTGGATGCATATTTAATATTTGCATTTCCTTTTTTCTTTGTATATTTTATTTCCTCACTGCTTAATTTTATGTTATGATTTTTGCAATAATCTTGTTACTGGCAACGTGCTTTATTTACTATTAAGTTTGTGTGAGTGGCAACAGTTGTTCATGTTTATGTTTCAGTAGAATAGCGTTCTTAGCCGCACTGCGGTGCAGGCAATTTTTCTCTTAAATATTTCATCTTTTAGAATAGCAATAAAGTTATTATACAAAGCTGATGCTTTTTAGTTCAAGGCAACTATTTGGTTCCCCAGGTGAGGCATTTAATGCTATTTAATGTGTTATTATTATATGCTTTAGAACTGTGTTTAACGAACTTTTAAGTACTGGTACTGCGAATCGTCTGCGTGACGTCAGAAAGATAAGCGGAAATATTTTTTGCTGTTTAAGTATCTTGTTGAAGTTATTTGTGCTTATTAATCATTATTCATGGTAACAATGACAGAATTAAGTGAATCTGATCTTAAAAGATTAAGAGGACGAACGAAATCTACCCTAACGCGGCTTCACAATAGTTTCAGTAATCAGTTAAGTTTAACGGAATTAAAAGCACGATTAGATTAGAAAGAATTGAACAAATATTTAAAGAATTTGATCAATATGATGCTGCTTTACCCGAAGAAGCTTCTGAAATTGCTGAATTCGAAGCTAAATATTTTGAAACGAAAGTAATGTATCAATCCGCCATTGAATCCGTAACGGCCAGAAATGTTTTGATTTCAAATCCCACTGCAGTTGAGGCTAGCTTTAAACTTCCGCGTTTAAACATTCCGAGTTTCAATGGTAAATATACCGATTGGCTTAATTTTAAAGATCTGTACATGGCGACAGTTCATACCAATCAGTCATTAGCGAAAATTCAGAAATTCCAATATTTGATAGGACTTTTAACAGACGAACCAGCTGCTATTATTAAGCACATTCCGATTTCCGAAACTACATATGATGAGGCTTGGGACAAACTGATGAATCGTTATGATAGAAAAAATCAAATTGTAATGTCGCTTGTCAGAACATTTCTTGAGCAACCCAAAATTACTAGCGCTGATTCTGTTAATCTAAGAAAAATATCGGATACATCTGATGAAGTTATCCGTGGATTAAAATCTCTTGGCGAAAAGGCTTCTTCGTCTAGAGATGTTTGGCTAATTTATTTTTTGTTAGAAAAAGTCGATCCGGAAACGCGCCATTTATGGTCACAAAAAAATGGTGAAGAAGAATTTCCTACCTTAGAATGTTTTTTGGAATTCTTAAACTCAAGGATGTGTTTCACTTGAAATGTTAAACACTCATAATAATGAAAAGCGAGTATCGCATAAAAATCAGTGCTCTGTTTCGAAGAATGTTTCACATAATAATAAAAATTCTGTTCTAAAATGTCAGCATTGCAATGGTTCTCATTTTTTATCAAAGTGTTATAAATTTAAAGGTGCAGATATTACGACTAGGAAAAAATATCATTCGCAAGAATTTATTATGCTTCAATTGTTTCGGAAATCATCAATTAAAATTTTGTTCATCGCAGAATGTGTGTTCTATTTGCAAAGCAAAACACCATACTTTACTGCTGCATGAAGATATTAAAAGTAATAACGTAGTTTGTGTCAAATTCATCTCCATCTGATGAACAAATTTCTAATTCAGACGAACAAAAATAATATTTCGAGTTTTTCTATTCAGGGTCAGAGTACTTCATTTTTACCAACGGCGGCAGTAATAATTTACGATTCTGCTGGTCAAGGTCACGAATGTATCATTCTTTTTGACAGTGGAAGTGAAGCTTCTTTCATCAGTGAATCATTTATTCGACAATTAAATATACGCAGACAAAATGCCCGTATTTGCGTAAAGGGACTTGGTGATTCTGAAGCAGCTTTGACTCGTGGTTATGTAAATGTAAAATTGTTTCCGAAATCTGAGTTGAAAAAAAATGGTGTTTTAATACAAGCATATATTCTTAAAAAATTAACTTCGCATTTGCCTTCAGTAAAGATTGATAGCAAGGACCTTGATTATTTGAATTCAATTAATCTTGCAGATCCGAATTTCAGTACGCCCAAACAAATAGACATGATAATTGGAGCTGACTATTTCTTTTCTCTGCTTCAGCCAGGGCAGATTGTTGGCTATAAAAATGTAATTGCGCAAAATACTATTTTTGGTTGGGTTGTATCAGGCAGAATTAAAACAGAAGGCAATACTCCGCATCCCATTAGTGTTAATCGCATTAGTT